AATTGGCTGCTACTTTCATGTTATAAGCTCTACCCACCATCCTGATCGCACAGTTGAAATTTGCCAATCCCTAGTGACGTGTATAAAAGTCTTTGTGCTGAATGATAATTGCTGAACTGTACCAGATCAAGTGTACCACTCTCTTTCTGGTAGTTTCTCGACCACTGTAAATGGATGAGGGCTAGTTGCATCAGATCCTGTGTATTGGTAACACTAGACAAACCTGAGTGTAACCCACTGCTTAGTCACTAGCAAATGAAGCAGATGGTGTTTTCTGCTGCCCAGAATAGCGTTGATGAAGAGTCTGTGAAGTTGGCAGTAAAGATGGAGACTGATCTCCCAGAAAATCAGCTGATATTGACTTCATTTACATTGTACATAAGAAAAAAAGCTCATTGGAAGAAAATGGGTTCTATTGCAGATGTAAACAGTCATACAAGAACTTGCTGTAAGCAATAACGCACAACAAGGTGTGATATATAAAAATAATGGACGATGCAAAGATAAAGTTTGTGATTCAGCTTTGTATCAGTGCATCCTATACTTCAGCTGAGTACTAAAAATTAGGGCTATAACGGTTCTGAAACCAAAACCAGTTCTGAGGGACAGAGCCGCTACACACACCGTTATTCTAGGTCATTTTCCACCTTATTTTAGTGTTTATTCCTTAACGTTTCTAGAATCTACTCCCTTTCTCTTCTCCCCACACTCGCACAGCCCTACACTTCTCTTTCACTGGCTTGCCCCACTTCTTCCTGTCTCTCTGTATGAGGCTCTGCTCACCTCATCTATCAGCAGCGATTCTGTTGTCATGTGGTACTGAGAAATTGGGTTTAATGTGTCCTATTTATACAATTTCAATGTACTCTTGTTAACCAATTTGGAAATGACATTTTACATAATGGATTTTAAACAGAAACATATTCTAATACTTATGATATAATAACTATTCAACTTTAAGGCATGATGAAAGACGGTATCTGATCAAAGACTGCGCCCTCCGTTCTGTACTTGCTGCTATGGACACACTTCAGTTGGTAGTCCAAAAGCATTGGCATGCCATGCTCAACTCTAAATAAGTAAATAGAAACTCTTGTAATCCTTTTTATATCAGTGTTGGCTTGAGATTTGTCAGATTTAAAGCATATCTGCTAAATATCATTATAAAATATTGGATTTCAGACGATGCAATTTAGATAATATAATACATATTTTGTTATAATAAAACATGTTATAATAATTATAAGAATTTAATAATAAAATGGTACTTTTTTATTCTGATCTAAAGTCTATTTAATTTATTGATTTATGGATTTCTTTTCTCCAAATCCAGGAAAATACCTCAAGCCACAGACCTTCAATCTTCCTCTCCCTCAGCCAAGACCATCAGGTCCTTGTCTCCCTCTTCCATAGCTGCCTCTTCCTCCTCTTCATTACATTCAAAGGTCCGCACAGGAAGTCATATCAGCTCCTCTCTCAAAACTGCACCCTCCTCCTCCTCTTCATCCAGTCATGGTCCAGGGAGACCCCCAACAGCCATACAATCAGAGAACTCCGGGGGCAGTGGCAGCAGCCTTGGTGGTGGCCATCTGGTGTCTCCGTGTAAGCCTGTGACGATGCGTCAGGCGGGTCCCGGACGAACCAAGAACCCTGTGGGACGTCCCAGCAAGCAGATGCTAAAGCTGCGAGAAGAGGCCGCTGCAGCCGCTGCCCTACGCAAACGCAAAGCCCCGTCACAGGAAGGGGAGCACTCAGGCCCAGACAGGAACTGCATAACGCTCCAAGACCGCGGCCGCCCCCCTTCTGCTGCCGCCGCCTCCTCATCTTCCTCTTGTAAACCCCCCACTCCACTGCCTCTCCCACATGGACAGACCAATGGCACGCTTTCCCCCAGCAGCAAACCTCGCCCCCACCCCTCCCCCTCAGAGTCCCACTCGCCAGCCGCCAAGGCAGTCTGGACCTACAGACGGACACACACTCCTCTGGGCCATTCATCATCCCCAGACCCCTCCTCTGCCACCAACAACTCCCACAGCTGGGGCAGTGTGGGGGACTCAGGACTGCACGGGCAGGGCAGCGGGAGAGGCTTTGAGCACCAGGGCCTGGTGAAGAAACGCAAGGGTGGCAGCATGGAGGAGCACTCACCCTCCTCCAAACCCTCAGCGCACCGCCTGCCCTCCTCCTCTTCCAGCTCTGCCACCTCCTCCTCTTCACGCTCTAACTTCTATCCCTGGAAGGACAGTAAAGGTGGGGGGCTGGCTGGGGGAGTAGAGAAGAAACTGGGCACACAGAAGGTGAGTTTGGAGGAGAGAAAAGCAAGGGACCGAGCAGCACAAAGGGTGACCGGGAAAATGATTTGGTAGTTAAATATGTAGCTTTACTCCTTTGAGGCAGGAGTGTATTGTTGGTGTCCTTGTTCCTAAGCGGTAAAATGTTCCCAGCAAAACACAGACGAGCTAACATTCACCTTTTTATACTGAAGGTAAACAAATTATGTCCAAATTATTCCATTATTTAGTTTTTAGAGATGAGTCCATAGACACGCCCCACTAGTACAGAAACTCCTTTCACATTAGCCACGAAGGGGAGGATGAGCGAGAAGGAAGTGGATGAAGAACGGGTTAGAATCAGAACAGAGATTCGATAAGAACCTGATTCGATAAGTAGAATCAGAATCGATAAAATTGAAACGATATCCAACCCCAGTGCACACTGCCAATCTGACAAAGAATACACTGACCTGATTGTTTATCCGTTTCATGACCTGTGGCTGCTTCCTTTTAAGAGCCTTATTAAAGAAACGACCAGCTAACTGCTTTCCATGCCCACATGATGCACCTTTTTATGATCCCAAAAGCCGATCAGATTCCAGGCAAACCAGGTGTGAACCAACACGGATCATGTAGAGGATGTTGGCCTGTCAATTTAAAGGATGAGCCACACAAGAGTCTTGTTTTGAGTACTCTCACTCAAGAACTCGCATTTTTGATGTGACGCTCGGTCGCCATTATAATTTGAATCCAAGCTCACTACAGCTGCTGTCCTTTGCAAAAAAGCAAGCTACACAATTACTGTATTTTATATATGTGAGAGAATAAACTCTGTTGTAACCAATTTACATGTCTAAAAATCAGAATCGCATAAAGTCAGTGCATCAAATTATGTCAACATGTGGTTAGTGCTCTGTGGTGTGGTTTTCTTTACTTAGTAAAATTGTGTTTATAGTTGAGCTAGAATTAGTTCTGCTCTCTAACTAATCTGGCACAGGTCAGCTGCAGAACTGTGTTTCCATGGCAACAACCAGTGACACCTGGTGGACCTGATAAGACGGAGGCTACAATAACCCCGTCTTGAGATATTTTTATCTTCTGATTTAAAAAAAGGCCTTGGAACTGTTCTTCCACAAGGCACAGTTAACTCTGTGGAAGTTTACCGAGGTAAGCAGCTTGTAGCTGAAGCCTAATCAGCACTGTATTTTAAACTGAAAGTGACCCTGAATACAGGGTGCCCTGATATTAGTACAGGCCCAGTAGCGCCACCAAATCCCCTAAATTGAAACGAGTCAGGTTTTAAACATCAGCTACACATAAATGAAGTGTCTTCTCCAGCTATCTGGTTCTTGTTCTCTTTTCTGATTCTGACTTTTCTGACACTGTGTATGTCTGTTTGTTTTATTCTACCCCATTATGAACAGTTCTGAAGGGAATATCAGTTGTCAAAATGAAAGTAACAATTTCAAATGTTTTCTTTTGTCCCACAGCCAAAACTGCACCATTAAGTGTGCCTGCCTTACAAGCCACTATGAGGGAGCCAGCTCTGCTCAGTCCAAGACTGAGGCAACAGGACCCGTGTGTGTGTGTGTGTGTGTGTGTGTGTCTGGCTGGCTGGCTTTCTGGCTTTTGTCTATTGAGCAAATGCTCAAGTATGAGTGCGTCAGGTTGTTTGTATGTGCAGAGTTAGTTCAGTATGGATGTGTTGGTGTGTGAATCTGTTGTCTGGATGAATGTCTGAGGGAGGAGTGGGAGGATGGAATGAAATTCAGAGTATGGATATAGAAATACCTCAAGACCATCCGGTTATGCTGCTAAATTAAATATCTTGGTTTATAAAAATGGATTAAAAATGTCCTTTACACTTGGTTTCTGTGACTTACTTTTTTAAAAGCTGTATGTGTTATATCTTTCTCTTCCCTTTCAGTAAACTCTCCACAGCGTCCCAGTAATGTTCTGTATGTGCTTGTTCCAACACTTCATTTAATCTATATGATGCTGGCAGTGAGTGAAATGTCTTGGGACATCATTGTATTCCAAATTTCCCCAAAATATTTGGTATCTTTTGGATCCTCAGCAGAACAAACAAATAAACAAATGTCCACTTAAGGTTTGGACTACCTGGGTGCACAGCATGATCATCGAATAATGGAGCCACTTTGGTTGATTTATTCCCAAAGATGTTAAGATAATTAAATTATCAGTACTGTTGTGGTGTTACAGCTAATTTTAGAGATTTTCAATTTGTAAATTAACTTGATTCTGCTGAAGTGTCCCACTTTTTGGCAGCATGGTGAACATCAGGATATGGTGTTTCTTAAACGAGACAATTAACTAATAACACAGGATATTTATTACAGAAATAATAACTGATCAATAAATCAATTCATCCTATATACGGTAACAATGTACCATAGATTGATGGGAATGTTTACTGTAGAGAGTGAAAGTGGCATCGACGGTTTTTTAATGATGCCCTTTAACGTATTAGAACAATGCAGACCTAACCGGCCTACGTTTTTATGTGCGTCAAACATGTTCTTAAATACAGAATTAAAAATGTGGCCAGATAAATCCACCTCTGGTTGATACGATTGCCTAGTTTGTGTCTCCCCTAATGTCAATACATGAAGATAGAATATGGACGGTACATTAAAACGCCGGGACGACCCTGAGCAGCAGGAAACGGAAGGGAGTCCTCTCGCCTGTCGCGCACTCTTCGGTGTCGACTTTAAAACGAGGAAGTGAAACCAAAATATGAGCCGCCAGCAGAGGAGGTGTGAGGTTTGCAGTCGGCCAGTTTGTTACCTGTCTGCGTGCATGGCAGCCGAGAAGAGACTGCACGGTTTCCCCTCCTGATTCAGTACGTACCAACAGTTGCTTCTGTCCACAGTCGGCCGCGGCTGCCTCGGAGGGAGAAACGTTACAGCGGCGGATTTATTTCTGATGTGGTCAAGCCAGAGAAAACTATCCACGACTACGACTGGCTTGTTAATTGGTTTTTCAACAACTGTCTTAAGACGCGTTGCACAATATCTGGGACATCTGGACGTTAAGATGTTTCGCGCAGAATAGAGGACTTTGGGAGACGAACGTCGCCACTGGACAGTGACAGGACCTCAGAAAGCACACCGCGAGGGATATACTGCAGTTAGTAGAGTAAAATAAAACAAACAATTGCGCAGTTGCACACAAACTCATGTTTAATAATAATGGTAATTATTTAATAATTTATTAAATTAGACCGATGTGTTCACACCAGTGAAAAAGAGAAAGAAACCACAAGTTGCTTTACTTGAACGCAATCTCAAAGAAACTACACACCGGAAGTACTAGGTGTTGTGGTGTCTAGCTTCACTAAGGTCATGTTCATCGGATTGTCTGTGTGTGCCGGAGCTGTGCGGATCTTCATCTTCTTAACTAAATAATAATGGAGCTCGTGCAACGTCCCTGCAGCACACGCGCCGCGTCTCTCCGTGTTAGCCCACCTTTTGCATCCGGCAGGTAGCCACCGGGCGGGTGGTGGCTCAGCGGCATGCGGTCTGATGTGGAGTACAGCCCGGTGGGAGAGGGGCCGAGTCCGCGGGACTTCTGGCTGTACGTGTGGCTGCGGAGGGCGGCGGTGATAGCGGCTCATGTCACCGGCCTGGGCCTGACCCTCATCATCTCCGTGCTGTCCAGACCCGGAACCAGTAAGTGCATATATGTCTGGATATACAACCATTCAGTAGATTTTATGACAGGGCTTTTACTCCTTTTATTATTACTCTGAAGACATGTAATTGTACTGCTATATGTGTGTTCTGTTTATCTCTATTAGTAGAAAATAATTATTACTAATAAATCTATGGCTTTTTCAAATGGAATAATCATTGGATAATCATTTTGGTCATCAGAAATTGGATAGAATCAAGGGTTACAGTGAGCCCTATAGAAGCCCTACTGCTTTTAAACCTGGAAACATGATTTGTTTTCTGATCACTCAACAGTTTTTCAGTAATGACCATGACTCTTCTTTTGGATTGTAAGAGGCTTACTGGTGTTTATTTGTTTTCCAGGTCTGTTTTCTTGGCATCCAATGTGCATGTCGGTTGCAGTAAGTTTTAAGTTCATGGCTTCTCCCTCTCTCTCTTACATGCTCACACACAGTAAAAAGTCTCTGAGTCATGATTTCAGTCTCTCTACACTTGTTGTGGGTTGTGTACTTATTTCTTTTCTTCACAAGTATTTAATATAATAAGTGTGCAGTTATACAAGATAAAATAATTAAGCATGTAAGTCTATTTCTTATTAGTTTGATTAGTTTTCTTTTTCATGATATATCCTTGCTGTACTTCGTAAACATTTAAGTACCAAACTGTACATACTACAGCCAGTGGATTATATTCACCAAAAATGTGGATATTTTCCTTTTAGGTGACTCAAAATGTATTTCAAAATCTAGTTTTAATCGGCTGATATTATGCTTACATTGTGCATATTCCAAAAATAGATATGTGTGTTATGTAATCACATCATCATCGACTATACTACTTGGGAAGGGGTTTAGGGGAATACGGCAGCCCTAGTGAGTTTATGTGGCCCCGCTCCTAATTATAATAAAATAACAAAATCTTTACTCTAATCATAATGTAATGATCTAGAAATTGCAAAAATCGTATCACATTCTATACAAACCCATAGTTTTCATCCCATACTTTTCAGATCTGGCTTAAATTTCCTCCTTACTTTGACGCTGTAGCACATCTCAGTGTCCTGTGTTTTCATTGTAGATGCATTGTCATTGTGAATGCTACAGCAGTGTTGTTAATCCATTAATGATTAACATTCTACAGACAGATCTTTCAGTAAGGATGCGTACAAAACACAGGGAAAAATGAGGTCGGAAAGTAATCAAGTGATATCTGGTTGTTCTGAGAAAACAAATCAAATGTAACGTAATAAAATACTGAGGTATATGACTTCACCACTATTTCTCTTTAGTTGAATAATAACTCCTGCAAGCACTTAACCTTCACGCCCTCTAGCCTTTGGGTCTCCATCTTCTTTCCACTGTGAATAATAGATAGGAGGGGTTGGGAGGAGGGAGTGTTAACACTAAAGACTGTGTTGCACCACTGCGTCAGCTCATTGTGTTACAAACTGACCTAGAATGTTAGAACAGGTTTGGATACTGAAATGGCCTGCAGGTTGATGTTGAGGTTTTCTCTTGTCATGGTTCATGGCAGTAGAGTAATTAATCGGTCGATATGCGTCATCACAGTACGTCAGCCACGACAACTTACTGCACAAACATCATGCCTCTCCTGTCAGAAACATATCTTCCCTTTGATTTAGGAGTCCATTTTGCCGTATTCACCGCATACACTCACACACACTGATCTCAGACTATCAGGGTAAAGTCTAGTCCGCAGCGTTCATTAAAATTTTTTTATTCAATAGCTTCCCTTTTTCATATCAAAATGCTTTTTGATTGCCATTCAAAGACTCACTCGCACACCGTCAACTGCGTATCCAGTGTACAGGGTTGTGGGGCATGGAGTTATGCAACAGCCAAATCTAAAACAGTGAAACCAGTTAAACAGACCTACTGTAAATGAAAGTAGTCATCACAGCTCAATGGAATGGTGCCTTGACAGTCTTATAGTGACATAGTGGTTACGGCCCCAACACCAAAAGAGGACATGTTGGAACAGAATATATTCAGACAGATCAAAATTGTTGATTTCTGATTGGCTGGCAGGTGTCTGATAAATGATGTATGTGGACACCTCATACTTGCAAATTCACACTGGCAAATTACCTAAGCACAATAAAATGTCCTAAACTAAGACAAACATTGACTATAAATATATATATATATATACTTTTAATATTTTTACAGAATATTTATATTTTTTATTATTATTGTATTTTTTATTAACGCACACAAACACAAATTGTACTGTTTTATTTACTTATTTAATGAAATGTATGGGGTTGATTGTTGTTGTTTGACAATATTGTTGTTATACATTCATGCCAATAAAGCTGATTTGAATTTGAATACTTGCTGCGGTTTAACCACTGTTCTAAATTACTGATCAAGCGTTGCTGTGCCGTTTCTGTGCGGAGGAAATGACCATATATGGAACACCGGCTCCGTCTGGCTCTGTATGTCATAGAGCGGAGCCGTTTGTAGAAAAAGCAGTTCAAACAGAGCGTTCAGAACAGGAGGAAATCTTGAGGATTTTGCTCACAGGGAATTCTTTTAAATACTTTAACCTCCTTATTTGAAGCTTTGGCCATGGTTAACATGAACATCCTACATTGTAACGTTGTAGATAAGTCATAAAATGTGGAAAAGCGTAATTAGGTCTCTTTTAAGTCGCAACATGGGAAAAATATAGAAAATCACCATTCTTCAATTTTCGTGCTGCATTACAATTAAAGGATAATTCTGACTTATTACAAACATTTTTCATAATATTGGCAAAGATTTCTATCAGAAATATTCTGCACATAAAAAAATAATGTACTTTGCCTCCAACTAATCCTTTATTTTCTTATATCAGAACACCTTGTTTTGTGTTCTCCTTACTCTTTGTGTTTTGCTAAAAATACTGAATGCACCTTTTATTAAGACATTTCTTTCTTTTCCCTCCATCTGCAGTACTGCCTGTGTATGACTGAAGGCATCCTTCTCTTCTCGGCTGAAGGATCTCCTTTCTGCTTCAAATCTCGGCAGGGTAAAGTTCGTCTCCACTGGTTCTGTCAGGCTCTGGTCCTGATAGCTGCGGCCACTGGGCTCGGCTTCATGGTGGCCAGCAAGAATGTGTCCGAGCTCCCCCACCTCGTCACCTGGCACAGTTTGCTTGGCGTTTGCACCCTGGCTGCCACCGTGCTTCAAGCGGCTTGCGGTATCTGTGCGGTCTTCCCTAAGCTACTGCGTCCCTCCTCCTCCCCACCGAGGCTGAAGCTGTACCACGCCACCTGCGGTCTGGTGGTCTACCTGTTGGCCACAGTGACCGTGGTGTCTGCCATGTTTTCCGATTGGTTTCAGGCTACGGTGAAAGGGTTGGCGTGGTGGGCCTTCCTCCTGCTGCCCATCTTCCCTGCCCTGGTGGTGATGAACCAGATCACTAATGCCTACCTGACTCGGAAGAAGGTCACCAGCTAGGAAGCATATAGCATAAGGCAGACTCGCTTTATCAACTCAGTGGCCATATTGGATTTATTTTGTTCTCACAGGCCCAGAGAATCCGGTGGAAGCAAGAGTCTTCCGCTAAAGCAGCATTTGAAGATAAAAGGGAGAGAGACCGACACAATATCTACACAGAAAAGCAAAGTTTAAAGCCTGGAATTTAGTTTTACTGCTTTCCAAGATCTCTGTCAGTTACAGGAGCCAGAAAATTCCAAAGGGGCAGAGCCCAGGTGAAGACGAGATTAGATATGCAATTTGCATTTGCGCTCACTAATGATCCTTTTCTACCCTCAAATTATTTATTTGTGCTCTCCACTTTCTCCACTTAAATGTGTGAAGTCATTGTGGCAGAAGGAACTGAAGCTACAGTTTGTTGTATCTAGTGCAAAAATGTTAGCGGCAGGCTAGCAGCTTTATTTTAGTGTGGGGGAGTTATCTGATTTATTCTGCCTAGAGTAATGAAAGAAGTAATAATACACATGTTGGGCATACGTTATTAATTGTATTGTGTGCACATATTTTAAAAAAATGTTACCCCTGATAGCTCCTGCACACTTCAATACAGAACTGCAGCTTAAAGTAACATAGGAGAAACCAAGAGACGGCTAGATTTTTAAAGTATCCAACTGGAAAAATCCAAACCCCCTCCCATCAGGACTCCCTCCAAAACCACTCCCACAAAACACATTTTAATTCTCAATGTATACACGCAGAGTGTGTGCAGGTAGACGGACAGGTAAGCAGGCCAATCATTTCATTCGAACGAAATGATTGGATGTGCTACTGTGTATATATGTTTCTTTTTTTTTAAAAAACATTTGACCATGTGATGAGAATTTCAACAGATATAACAACAAATGCTTTTTAAGTAAATTGCTGACTCCAGCTTTAAAGCACTCTGACATCTGTGGCTCCTAACATAAAGGAATTTTCAACAACACTATATGGTTTGGCTTGCCAAATGTAAACACACATGAAAGACAGGACAGCAGGGTACGGCTATCCTGACAAACCACTAGAGAGAATCCCATCATGCACTCTGTGCCTCTCTCGAGGAATATTTCTGTTACAAATGCAGCGAAAGTGCATGTACACTGGTTTCTGCAGGGATATGAAGCAGCTACTACTTGTCGTGTGATGACACAGCTTCAGCAATGGAAGTGTTGCGGATGACGACATACCCGCCCGTAAATTCTATTTATTTATCCATTTGTGATGTTTGTGTTGTGTTTCACAAAGCTTTACGAAGCTTCTTTTAGCTTGTTGTTTGGTTGTCTGGTACATCTACTCTTTAGTCTCACACCTATAATCAACCCAAGCAGAAAATCTCTGATAAACCCACTGTACACCACACGCGCTGCACCAAACAGCAGCCAGACATTTTGCTCAGCGCTCGGTGGACACCAGAGCTTAAAGGAGTAATGTTGGACTACTACTTGTCAGGTGAACACTACTCCTAAATGAATGCTAACGTGAAAGCATTGTCACTGCTGTCAGGGACTGGTTAGGTTACAAGAATGACAGCATTGAAGAGTGACACATGTAACCTGATTTATGAGCTACTGTTCACTTTTGTCACGGGGCTCCTTTCTGTCTTCTAAGCACTTCCTTGCTAGTCATGCTCTTTGTGCTCTATTTGCTTTTACAATCACAAGGGAAAAAGAACACGCACCAAAGGCACAAGCTTCCTCCCAGCAAAGATGCCATGGTCAGTCCCAACAGAAGAAGGCAAATGAAACCGCTCCAATCATGCTTGAGCTTTACGTTCTGTCCAGTCCACTCAAGACCTCTGCAAAACAGTCAGTTCAGCAATGCTATTACGAGCCAAGGTAAAAAAAACAACAAAAAAAAACAAATCAATACCATGTCTCAATAAACCAGCTTCCTTATAAAGGAATATCAAGGGCTTTGGTTCTTCTGGAGTTGTCTTCCTAGGCAGACAGGATGACAGTCTGCAGTATATTGCCCCAAACAAGTACCACCAATTCAAATCTCATCAAACTATGTAATTTTTACCTACGTATCTTCAGCCATTTTAGACCATCAGAGTAATTGTGTGATACTGTGCACAAAGCTTGTTGGGAAGGCTACACCGCATAGGAGCAAATACTGCCCGACAGGCTGAATTTAGGGCAAATAAAAGTCTGTCGGAGCTGGCGCAAACAGGTTGCTTTGTAGTTTTCCAGAAAAGCAGCAGGTTCTGTTTTTTTCAGGCCACAATAATCAGGCCGACGGCTCCCTGAGACCTGCGCGATGGATGAATGTGGAGTATTTTTAAATGGTGTGAGAGAACCTGATGCACAAAGACCTACTGGATGTACATGTACTGATCCTCCAGCACCTTGCCTCAATCTCTTTGTCTTATTCGCTACTAGGAGGCTTATGCAAATACAACATCAGCAATTTAGCTGTCCTTTAAAATCAGGGGTTCTACTTGAAGACGATCTTTTCTGAACTGTTTACAATCTGGTATCACTCCAGCCTGGATGAAAAGCACGTAATGCACCTGTACAAAAGTGGAAAATGTCATTGATGAAATAATGGATCTCAAAATTCCAGATTCAGTGTGTGAATTTTGAAACGTCTCTCTTACTTTTTTTAGAGACCCCCCTCGTTAAATGCTATTAATATCCAACTACATCCCTATAGAGGAAATCGAGCTCACACACATTTTCTTTGTTGAACTTTCTCCTCAGGACTTTGTCGTATGAGCCTGTTCAGTGTTTTTGATCAGAATGTAGGTTGTAGGTTTGTATTTGTCTGATTCTTGTCAGCAGGTTGCTGCCTGTGAACCGTCTGTAATAAACAAAGAAATACATTAGAATTTGTTTTATTTGATTTTATTCCTTCAACGTCACATTTCTACTGGTGATAAACTATTTCTGCACTTGTGTATATGTTTCGATGTTAATGTTCCTGGTAAACTGCACAAACAGATGTAGACAGCTACACATGGAGAGATGTGTCACAGGCCGCAGAGAGCTGTAGGTGTAAGAGGAGAAATAAGTTCACCGAGCTGTGATTTTCACTGATATTCAACAATCACACAAGTGATACCGGTTTCTATACCTACACTAGAAGAGAATAACCCAGAATGCAATGCGGCCACAGGTAACCTTTGTGTCTGGTCTAGCGTCGTCATTTTAAAGGTTAAGGTTCCCAATATTCTAGTTTTTTTCTTATTGTCAGCAAAATCCTATAGGTATCTTTTTTTTTGACCAGTTTTTCTGAAGTCTTAATCAACTTCCAGCTGACTCAGGTTGGTGGAAAACTGAGGCCTGTCTAGTGCAGACTACCACAGTTGGTACTGTGAGAATAATTATAAAGATCAGTGTCACATTAATCATTTATATGATCAAATCAGCTGCGCCCCACCCCACCCCGTAACTGCAGAAGTAGCCCTGGTAGGGAATCACTTATTTCATTAATAGCCCGGGTGTTGCAAATTAGCAACTGCTAAAAACACTATGGTACACACATTGGGGATTGCTGTTTTCTGTTTTTCTATGTTAAAATGTATCAGTCCCTAATAAAAAATAAACCATAAATAAATACTAAAGCACCAAATGTGGATGAATCCACAGCTATTAAATATCCTGTTGCAGTAACATTTTCCCAAAAATGTTTCCAAGGTCAGGAACTTCCACACTCGGCTGATGGCCTGACCTCCAGCTTTAACAAATAGTCCACATTCTGTCTCTAACGGGTTGTTTTCTGGGAAATGTAGTAACTGAAGTAGGAACAGACAAGGCTGCCTGAGGAAGGTCATGTTTGTGTTTAGTTTGTGTTTATGCTTTTGTGTTTGGTTTTGACTTTCCGTGCTCTTCTGGGGCGACTCTCATAAGCTGGGTTCCTGTACATAAACTAAAGTGAACCACACATTCACCACAGTTATTAGAACTGCAGAACTCTACCAGAGAGAATACTGTGGTGGACTAAACATGAGTCACAAACACAAAGAGTCCATGGCTTGTGAATTATGTCTGAATTAGCCCGTGTTGTCGGATTAATGATCAGAGGAGACAATAACCATAAAACTGTCCAGAGTGATCCGCCGAGGGTCAAAGTTAACCCTTTAGGAGTCAGGATGTGGCGGTTTGTCCTCACAGATGAAGGTGACTGAGCTGTTCAGCAGTTCAAACATGTTGACCTCCACCACCTCCGCTGATGATCCGCCCTCTCTTTCACCTGCCAGAGCCACAAACACCTGCTGGGCTGCTGCCAGCTGTGCCTGCTCCTCAGACATGATTGACTCCGCCCCTTCACTGCCTGTTGGATCTGCTGAAATCACCTGATTGGACAGAGAAGTTGTTTGTTAAATATGTAAATTTTATTAAAAAGTTATTAAAATAATTAGAATTTAGAAAAGAAAAGCAGGGGGTAAAAATAAGAAGCACATAAAGGAGTGTATATAGTATTTAACAGATGAAGGCTGAGTTGACATGCAGAACTCTTGCGTGTCCGATATTTCCCATCTGACTTTAGTGCGGCAGCAGAGCTCCTTACTGTGCGCGAGGTGGAGGCCTGCCCCTCTCCGGCCCCCTGCTCCTCCTGTGCCTCCATGTGGCAGGAGAGCAGGTGCTCCTGCAGCTCCAGCTGGGAAGAGCAGACCAGGGAGCAGAGGGAGCAGCTGCATGCTTCGCTGCTCTGGCTGATGTGCTGGCTGCTGATGTGCTCTTGCATCTCCTCCTCCCCGCCCAACACAGCCGGGCAGTAGGGACAATGCAACGTTGATGATGCCGAGCCTGGAGGACACACAGCATCAGTAAAGACAGCAGATGAAGCGCTGCTGTTATTTCTTTATTTTCCTTAAAGCTGGGAGTGGTAACACTGGAGAAACTAGCAAGAGACAGCTAGATCTGGAAAGTATCCAAGCGCATAAAATCCCACCCCCTCGCTCCAAAGCCACACCCCCAAAACACATTTTCATGCACAATGATTGCACGAGCAGAGTGCACGTGGGGTGGCAGGTAGGCAGGCCCGCTATCATTTCATTCGGACTGTGTGACTGCATTTGATTTACTGATTGCTGTCGGGATGTGAAGAAAATGCAACAATGAAGGCAAACCTTTGCAAATTATGTTAAAGGACAAAAATCATCCAATTCTCACATTTATTTAATTTGGATTAAAAGTGTCAGCATCACAACTGATTGATCATACTAATGTTTCGGTCGCTCTGGTGTACTTTTTAAAGTGATTCAAAGTATTAAAAATCTGGACTGCCTTGTTTGTAATCTTTCCGATAATCTGAAAACCATACGTTTCGTGTTACGTTTCTCTTTGTCTTTAGGTAGGTTGGGGGTCCACTATGGGTCAACTTTGGCCCTTCTTTCCTGAATGGTTGGTCATTCTGGTTACTGTGTAGGGGAAAAAAAGTGTTCAAATCGAAAGGGCTGAGGTCAGAAGTGATATCTGCTATACGTTCTGATTCATTTGAAAAGCCTGCACTGCGTGATGGCTCTGCAACAGTGACGTAACAAATGTAACAAAAATCACAGCAGACACACACACACGATTGGCCCCTGTGACGGATTACTGCATCCATATAATCTGTCTGCGATCTCCCTCTCTAATCTCTTTTGGACACACAGGGATTAAACGTGTGCTTGGATTAAAGAGATAGTGGTAAAGAGGTATTGTTTAATCACATTCTTGGTTTTATTGTTCCTCTGTTCTTTATCTCTTGTCAGATATTGTTTCAGCACCAGGAGAAGACAGTGAACAGTCGCTCACAGTGAAGAACAAGGCACTGGATTATTTTGTTCTTTCCACGGGTCTCTGATTATTACAAGTTAAACTGATACAGTAGATTTCTGAAACATACCTAGAGTTGAGATGTAGCAAAAGAATTCTCATATTTTCTCTGACAAATCATTTTCCTGGAGGCCCGTGTTTGCCGTTATGCCACCACTACCTTGTGACGTGAACCCGTATCGTGTCGTCCTCACCTTGGTGCTCAGCTGCCTGGTGTTTGGCCACACTGGCGGCGCTGGGAAAGAACTTGAAGCAGACGTCACACTGGACCAGGGTCTTGAGCTGCCGGGTGTGGCTAGCAAACACGTCAGGGTGGTTGGTCCTGTTATGATACCACAGGCCTGACAGTTGCTGTGGCAACAGAGAAAGACATGCATAAAATACGCTTAAAGACCGGCCATGGACTCAGAGCTGTGGAGGTGAACACCCTCGTCCTACCTGGTAAGACTTGTTGCAGAGGTCACAGCTGAAGGGCTTGGTTCCAGTGTGTGTGCCCTTGTGTTTGTCCAGCAGGACGGCGCTGGTGAACACCTTGTTGCAGGTGGGACACTTGTGGAACTCTTTTGGGTGGAACTCCTGGATGTGCTGGCGATGCTCCTCCAACGAGGAGAAGCTGAGACAACACTTCTGACAGTCGTGAGGCTCCGACAAATCTGCCATTAGGTTTTCGCATACAAGGAAAAGAAAAAGAAACGTCCTGCAAGTTGCAGTTACATTTGTGATATCAGGCCATTTAAAATAAAAATGATTTCACAAATTATTTCCCAGCTTGCAGTTGTGTATCATCTTTTGTGTGCATGTGAAAAAACTAGATATGTGCATGCAATTTTTTTTCACATACACACAAAAGGTGATTTAGCAGACTACAGACAGGGAAATTATTATTATAATATCATTTCAAAAGCTCAAAAAATCTATGACCCATATCTGCTTCCATATAGTCCAGTTGTTTAACCTCTCAACACCTTGCTAAACTTGTATTTTGCCTCTTTAAATCTTATCCAGTCCACACCAGCGTTTTAGCTGCGTTTCAGGGTTGATGCCGGTTGCCGGTGTAAATGTGAAGCAGGCTGACAATGAGGAGGAACTGTTACTGAAAGTAACACGGGAACACAAAGCCACTGTGGCGGCGGAAAACAGACAGAGTCGTCTAAACGCCACAGCCTTTGTGTACTAATACAGGATGTTGATGGCAAACTAAGGACAATAACTAGGAAACCCGGGTTTGTCCCCTCCACACACAGCGTAGAATTCAGGGAGGAGCATGGGCAGGATTCCCTCTCCTCCCGTTCTTCACTACATGGACAAAGGTGAGGGCAACTTTGACCAGAATTTCCAGTAATTGCATGGATGAGACGAGGAGAAAATCTAGTGGAGTTACTTCTCTTATGTTCGTAATCTCTTCTCTGGTCAGCACTGAATTTGGACACATAACACGACAAAACTGAGCGCACACAACATGTTGAGGCAGCCATGCAACTGTATAATGTCTAACTATCGAAGAAAACCATCTTTTCTATTTGATGCACCTGTAAATGACGCACACATAAACACTGCAGAAAGACCTGAATGTATGTGTGTGTTTGCTCTTACTGTGGAAGTTGTGCAGGTGGACGGTGAGCCCGCTGGCCTGGCTGTAGCCTTTGCCACATTCTCGACACACATAAGGCCGATCGCCGGTGTGTGTTCGCACGTGACGCGTCAGTTCAATGGACTGGGCAAAGATGGCCTTACAATACTGACACACATACATCTTCCCTAAAGACACACAAAAAAGACAAAAGTGAATGTGCACAGATTGGACTGACTGGACACGCAAATCATGAGGCTCAAGGCAAGGCTTATCGAAAGGGTTGAGCATTCAGACAAACTTTTCAGGCTGCCTCATCTCACAATACATGATAGGCCCAATTCCAGATTCATTTTATTAATCAGGATGGTGGATTGCAAGTCAGAAAATAAGAATTATTCAATATTATAATATACTTTTAGTGAAATAATGGTTTGAACAAAAAATCTAGCTAAGCTAACTAACTAAAATGACAGTCAGGGGCGGACTTCAACTTTCAAACTTCCAACAGACCTGTTAACAACAAGCTACTACCCCAGTGTATGTGCGACGTTGTGTGTGTGTTACCCTCAGAGTGTTTCTTCTTGGTGTGGTATGCGAGTGCAGCCGCCACACTGAAGCTCATGTCACAGTGTTTGCAACGGTACGGTTTCTCTCCCGTGTGCAGCCTCATGTGATTCTTCAGAGACGAGTTGGCGCCAAACTTGGCGCCGCAGTCCTCACACGCAAACGGTTTCTCTTCAAAGTGCTCGGTACGCTTATGGTAAATCATGCCTGAAGTGTGACAAGAGAAAGCAGACCGACGACACCGTTTAATCCCTTGAAGCATGCAAGAAGAAGAAGAATTTACTACACAAAGAATTCTTACAGAGAAGAACAATAGAAGCAGAACAAAAATATAAGTTAGATAAAAATAAATTAAGATGCAGTAAAGTTGATTATTACAGCAATTTACTTTTAATTTTACTAGTAGTGACGGAGTAGAAAGTAAGAAGTTATTTGTTGAAGAAACAATATTTATAAGAGGGACTGATGAAAAAGAACACTGATATTGTAAAAAATGACGAGTAAGAAGTCCACCGACTGCCATGATATTGATACTTATGTGCACAGTCAAAAACATTATTGAATCCATAGCAAGACCTCTAACCCATATTTGCAATCAGTCCCTACAAACTGGTGTCTTCCCAGATAAAATGAAAATAGCTAAAGTAATACCAATATATAAAACTGGAGACAAACATATACTCCACAAGTACAGACTCATCTCATTGCTTCCACAGTTCTAAGTGATGCAAACAATTTAAGTAGTTAAAATATATCACTGAAGTGGGGGTAGGACAAGAAAAGTTATTCGAACTTCTTCCTACCCCCTTTGAACATGACTTAGATCATCTGCTGATGGTCTTTTTTTGTTGATTGTTTGTTTTTATTTAGTTTTGGTTGTTGTATTTTAACATGTTCAATAAAGAGTTTAAAAAAAAAAATATAAAAATAAAAAAGCTTGTCCGACTCGCAAAAATCACGGGACTGTAGAACATTTGCAATTAAATTACAGAAGACCTGCAACGAACATGTTAATTTTGTAAAAAAAACAAAAAAAAACCCCAACTATAATATGATAGTAAAATAATTTTGGGACAGGATGATATTTAATTGCTACAATTGTAAAACAGGTGCATGTTTAACAAATTCACAAAATTTGAAATAAATTTCTCACATAAAACAGGTTTTTTTCCCCTGGAAACTACATATGAAAAGAGGAGGCTGTATTATATTCAAGAACTACACATTTACGCTTTAACTATAGCAGATATTCTCTTTGAATGGAGCGAGAATGATTCATATACCATTTGAATGTTACATCCACATAACAGAGTGTTGCATAATGGGCTGTTTGTGACCTTAAATTTGCTAGGCTAGTGAGTTTCTTCCAGTCTGCTCGCAGAACGTGTTTTAAAGGAAATACATTTCCAACAAGTATAAATAAGTCCAAAGCATCTCTTTACTGCTGAAATTAGGTGAGCAATGGATCACAAAACCCGTGTCTCTGATAATACCGTGGTTCTGATTCACAGAACGAATCATTTGTCGGTCCAGCAAAAAAGTTAGGCTTAAATAAATTTTAAAATGCGCTATTTTGTTGATGTAGCTGCCTCTCTGTGTCAGTAGTCCCCACTCTGTAATCTCCCTCAGTGTCCTGCCCACAGCAATATCTGATTTAACGTCAGAAGTAATAGCCTATCAACAAATCGGCCGCTCTCCCCTAACCCAGTCATCGCTCTTCAGAGTTCAACACTGCACGCATCTGTCTTTTCACTGCAGCTCTGCACTGCAATTTAAATAAGGTTTACTTTAAAAAGTTATTGTCTGATCAGAGTGTGTTAAAGAATAAGCTCAACATGACATTTGCTGTGCGTTTCTGAATATCTGACAGACGTCAGGTGTGACTAGTTACTGCGCTGATTTTCCCCAAACTGTCCACGAGACAATTCATTTATTTGAACTCTGCACTCCCTGCTTGTCTCTTTCCACCAGCTTTCCCATCGTGCTCCTCGTGAGGGATTCTCATACTAAATTAATGGGAGCTCGCAACTCACTGTGTGTCTTTGGCTCAAATCAGGTTCTAAAGGCCAGTCTGTACACCTGTATATGAATATGACATATTGATATTACTAGCCAGCTGGGATTCTCACCTGATGGGTGGGCGAAGGTCCGGCCACACAGGTCACAGGCCACCTTCTTCTTCACTCGTGTGGTGTTGCGGTGAGCCTCCGCCCGATGCCGCTGCAGGGCCCGCTGGTTGGCCAGCTTCTCGGGGCACTGTGGGCACTGCTGCTCACACTCCTGGGACATGGGGCAGCGCTTCGCGTGGGCCGACATCCGACACTTGAAGGAAAAGCCCTTCTTACACCAGCGACACGAGTAGGGCTTGGAGGGGGAGGAAGGGGAGGAGGAGGGAGGAGGAGGGGAGGAAGAGTCTGTGCATACAGTATTGTTAATGACTTTCTCGTCCTCTTCTGTCTCCTCCTTAATGTTTTCTTCCTCTCCCTCTTGCTGTTCTTCACTTCTGGTGCCGTTCTGTTTTCCTGAGTCAACTGTAAGAGATGGAATTAAGGTTAAAACCTGATGTGAATGATTAATATTAGGGCTGTAATGGTTCTGAAACCAAGACCTTAACCAGGACACTAAAGTCCAGGTCTCGTGAGGGACATGGGACATGTTGTACATATTACACCACAAACCTATTGTATTGTTTTCAACAAAACATGACTATTTTGGTTCAGTCACAACTGAGTGATCATGCCTGCAAGGTAGACTACTTTAAATAACCCAAGATGGAAAATAATAATAATATTGATGATAACAATAATAATGTAAATTAATAAAAAAAACATTTGGAGATTTTAAATGGACAGATATCCACTCACACAGGCATAAAGTGATCTTCTTTACCTCCAGTTTGGTTTCCTTCCGGCTCCTGTGTGTTCCCCTCCGTCTCCTCCACCAGAGACAGCAGTGGTGTCGGGAAGGAGGAAGGAGCTTTCTGTTGAACAGTCCGGAGAAGCCTGAGGAGCCCTCCCTCACTGAGCTGCCCCTCCTTCACCCTGCTCATCAGTTTCTCCAGCGCCGAGCTGGGATCTGCCTCCTCACAGCACTGACACACAACCTGGCAGGAGCACAAATGCACCTTCAGTGACCTCACCTCCAGAGATGAAATGCTTATATTAGAGCCCGGCTTTTATAGCAAATTGCACCCATTTAATAAGAATATTTCATCATACTTTGTACAGTTTGTTTCTGACCTGCTCTGTTTTAATTAGCCGCACTTCATTCATTTTTGTCGTCTTCATCTACAAATTCAGTATAGTGTGCATTACCACAGCATTCAGTACGACAGAGGCTCATGCCATACTCACCACTCTGCTGTTTCTCTTCTCTAACAGAAATACAGCTTAGATTAAAAGAAAAAAATTCAGTGGCTTTTAGGTTTCAGTTTCTTTAGTTCAGCGTTACGAAATTAAATGGCCAACTTCCTGAACAGATTTTTATAATTAGGCTTCGAGTAGCTTAAAAACTGTACAACCTTTTCCTGGTCAGAATTTTAATCTGAAACATCTGCAGAAGGTGGAAGCATATAGTACTGAATTCATTACGTACAGGTAATTCCAACCTGCTTTTATGGCCTTTACTCGTTAGATTGAATGCTGATTCAGCACTTTATTATTTTTCCGTATTGCGTATATGCCACACCGGAGCAGCGAACATTTTTGAGATCACTCACCAGAGCAGGATTTCTTTTGAATATAGGGCCACGCAGGATTTTGTATTCATTTTTGTCATGTACCCGTCATGTTTTTGTATCCACGACCCTTTTTCCACATTAATGTTATTTGTTTCCCTGCTTTCCTTACAACATTTATGCATTGCAACCATTATCTTTAGTTTTTCCTTTGATTCATATTTTGGTGCATTACACTTTATACCTAGTACTAACATATGCCACAATACATCTACTTACTGAATCTGCCATTGCCTAATAAACATGATTATTGTTTAAAGTAATTAGTGGACCTAAAGGATAGTAGGCAGCTGCAGGGAAATGCATAAATAGTTTAAAGTGTAAAAATGAATCTGAAGGAAACTAGAAAACGTAAAAAGGAAAAACATATTTGCAAAAAAACTATTAGTTGTTGAAGATATTCTAAGATTTAAGGCATTCAAGGTTCCACAGGGAGACCTGTTCTACCTGTCTCTCCTGTTCATCCAGGCTGCTCTGTGCTGCCTGGCTCAGCAGCTCCAGGACCGATGACATGTTGGAGAGGAGCTCCACAAGCTGAGAGGAATGCAGACCAATGGCAGGCCCATTGGATACCTTAGCTGCAGTCTTGTTTCCTTCCACTACGCTTTCTGCGGTTGTGGCTTCTTCAGGCTCTGTGACAGATGGGGTGCAGTCAGAACCTGTTCATACAGTAACACACTGTTGCTGTGTTGTTGTATTGGATTGCATTAGGTTGTACAACTGTGCCTAATAAACTGGTAACTCTGTATAATACCTTGAACCCATGTTGCAAAACCCCAAAACAGGCCTTTGACATGGTAAGCAGCTGAAACTGACCTGAGGACTCCGAGAGCTCCACGCAGGCTCTTTTACATGCTGGTTCCTCTGTGTCTTCACCTGCGCCCAGACAGTCTTGCTTCTTCAGCTCAGCCTGTAGCTCTGTCTTGTGTGAAATCGAGTCACCCTTGTTGGGTGAAGCTGAACCTCCAGGGTTCACAGCCTGAGCTTTGTTGATCACGGCGAGGCTTGCGGTCTGTGTAGAAAGGACTGGGACCGGGGGTTGCTGGTTTACAAGACTGGTGAGGACATTTTTGAAGCCGACAGCGACGTCGAACATCTGCAGGCTGTCTGCAGCGGCGGCAATGCGGCTGACGTTGTGTTTGCCTAGAGGCAGCTTGCCAGTGTAGACCATGTCCAGCAGACAGCCAAACTCCTGTGAGGAAACCAGGGCTGTATCGATGGAGATAGTGTCGGAGCCATCCAGGAGAGACCTGACAGAGATTAATATTCATTATCATTTTTATTCAAGTTCCCAAGTGACCATCCCATTATGAGTCATCTTTCCCTTTCTTAGTCATGTCTTTACAGCGCTGAATGATTATTATTAATCTGTTAAATGACCAAAAAAACACCATTGGATATATGGGGCGACTGCCTTCTGACAGGCATGTGCGTTCTGCCCACATACTGCCAGATATCAGGTAAATAACACTAGATGAGATACATGACAGACTGTGCCTTTTATTTTTTTCCCCGTCTGAAGCTGAATAAAGTTGTGATTCAAGTTCATCAATATAGGGACAATGTGGATGTCTACAACTCCAGATGAAAAGACTTGTTTAAAGAACACTGATATGAGACTTCACTTATCATCAAAGAGTTGAAACTGAGACTTTATACGTGCATTAATACATTTTAAGTTGACCAAGTCTTTCCCCAAAACACCTCTACCACAGAGAGCATGGAGATGGATTTGAAGTCTTGACTTTATAGCTGAAGTACAGATGCTAAACGCTTCATAAATCACTTGCAAACCGGTCTCTGCAGACCAGCTTTCAAATCCTATGCTCATGCTACCTGAAAAGCATGCTGGAGGCAGCCAGCACCAGTTTATGTGCACGGTGAGGGCTGTCTCCAACCAGGATGGTGCAGTCACAGAAGTGGCCCTCCTTCCTCAAGGCCCACAGCTGCTGCATCAGCTGGCTGCTGTAGTTGGGTAGCTCCATCATTTTCTTTGACGGTCTGGAGGTGCAGGATGTTTTGCTCTCTCTTGTATGGAGAGAACAAGTCATTTCAAACTCATTTCACAAAATTGGCAGTTTAAAAGAAATCACTCTCAGCAACCAGCAAACATATAAATTACAGCATTGAAAGTGGCCAGAATACTATAGTAACGTTACATCACTTTTATCTCCGGGTGGAAGAGCACGCACTTAACGCAGAGAAGGACGTACTGAATTTATTAGAAAGTTTTGTTTGAATTTGTTTACCATCCATATGAGTTGTTACCATTTTATCTGAATATTGGAACAGGAAGGACACGAGTGCATTAGTTGGAACTCTAATGTTGCTTATGTAATGTTATTGTGCACGTGCATTATGCATGCCAAATCAGCAAATGGATCATATTCTTAGGAAGTCTGAAGTAGCTAACGTAACGTCGCATTTACTTTCTATTTGAATGGAAGCTAACGTTACTGTGCCTTCGCAACATTACAAAGCAAATGCACATTTTATTAGCAGCCGGCTGGTTTAACGTTATTTAGGTTACAGGTTAAGGCTGCTAATGTTCACATGGTCTTCACTCAATATTTTCAAAACAGCCGAGCTAGCCGGTTCTAGCAAGTTGTCCGTCATTAGCTTTAGCCAGGGAAGCTAATGTAATCTAGAAAAGGTTTCTTATTAGGTCAGTGGACCTCATTGGGATTCAGGAGCACTTAAACTCTGAATAAACCACTGACGACCGTCCCACATGCAGCTTCCAGTCAATGGATGTTTTACCTTGAATGATTCAAACGATCCGTCTCTTTATTTAAACTTCTTTGCTGAACAACTCTGATGTGCGCAATAAAGCTTAGCCGTTTTGAAAATGGCGACAGGCGGTACGGCAACGAAATGGGGACAGTTCCGGTGTCCTGTCTGTTTAGGAAAAGCCCACCGTCAGATCAAGGACTTCACCTCTCAAGCAGCCTTAATATAAACCTGTCCGGGGAATTTTTTATTTTTTTTTAACATGAATGGGTTCAACCAACAACGAAGCTCCAGGTCAGGGAGCACGTAGCGATCAGATCAGATCAATATAATTGATCTCATCTTCCATGCAAATTCCCTTCAACAATTAAAAAAATAGCTGTAGGCAGTGACTTTTCGTGACTACACTAATCATTTTCAGTCACTGATATTGCATAAGGTGTTGGCTTTCACAGGACTGAAATTATCCCAAACCACTGATTTTCTCTAATAAGCATTGTGCCACAAATGACCCATTATATTTGGCAATTTCTTGAAACTCATAATTAAGAGTATGTGAGGACAGGGTGCTTTGAAAATAACTTTATTGCCCATAAGAAATAACAGTGAAAAGAACAGGACATATCACTGATGCATTCTGTTTCTCACTTCCAACTCTTGAGGTTTGCACTGCTGAAACCTGCAGGAATCAGCCTCTATACATACCGTGTAGCTATGTATCTCTAAACGCCACATGGAGTATATAGATATAGATTTGCTGTAGAGGTAATAAATGTTCTAACATTTAAGAGCAGTTATATGTATAATATTTAATACATAAGTATCTCGTGCATTCCTTTAACAAACCTGGAAACTGCAGTGAGAACACAAGCTTCCACATAATGAAAAGAAAGAACATTGTCTTGAATTTTTATTCTGCCATAATTTAAAAGAGTCAAAAACAAAGCTCATTTTCTTGAGTAACAGTAGAACTTAAGTGAAGCCAAGCCTCAGAATACACTGATCCCCTTAGCGTTCCCTCAACCTGTGTGTATTAGTCAGGCAGAAGCACTACCACAGTCCGAAGTCCTTCAGAATGATTAGGAAGTTTAAAGATCAAAGGCCAGCTAACCTTATATAGAGAAAAACAGCGGCTTTGCAACATAGTCACAGTTTTATTAAAGAAAGCCTACTCGAAACATAAAAAAAACAAATTAAAGCACTTATTTATATATGGACACTTGACAAATTCAAGCTTTTTTTTAAAAAAATCCATCGGTCATTGATCCAATTCAAGCATAGCTACAGCACAGCTTTCCTCAGTGCCCGAGAAGCCCAGTGCCTGCAGAGAGGGACAGAAATGATTACATCAAATCAGAACAAACACACACTTCCCACCAAAAAGACCCTAAATCAAACTGAAGAGTTGGCCACCCAATCCGAGATAAAATTAACACAACCCAAACTATTATTAGGCTTCAATACCAAGCCCTAAAATCCTTCACTAGAACAAAACGTTTGACTTGGAAATTCTATAACAAGTCAAGATCCATCTAAAAATCACTGCCCACATCTCACATGTTTTACAGCAATCCAAAAAGAATAATGAAGTGAATTCAGTCTGATTATCAGGGCATTCCCCTCCCATTAGTGTAGATAATAGAGATGTTAACTTCCTACTGGATGACGATAAGTAAATCCTTTTGAAATCCAATAATGAAGCAGCATGCTCACCTTTAAACCCCTCTTCAGGCATTCTCACTGTGAAAAAAGGAGATGACCACATATAAGAAAACAGTCTTCATAATTTAGCTTTTTTTTTTAATAAATCAAGCTAATCTATTTCCAACAGATGAAACCACTTACCCTGATAGACATCATCCATTGCTGCATAGTCTGCTATTGGCTCATCAGCCTGTGGGAAAACAATAAAGCATAAAGTCTGTAATCACCATCAAGATCATCAAGGGAATCAAGATTAAGGCTACATCCCCACTACTACGTTTTCATTTTAAAACAGACCTTTTGATATGTTTGCACCTCCCATCCAGACTAAAACGGCAAATCCAAAGACCCAAAACGGAGAAGTTTGAAAACACTGCCGACCCCCGTTTGTTTCGAAACTCTGGGATAGCGTTTTAATGCGGACAGGTGAAAACAGAGGACTTTAAAAACAGCTTTTTTGTGTGGGAGTATATAACAGTCTCAGTTTGTTACAAATTTAATAAAAAACTGGTTAAAGCCATCAAGTTCATAAACTAAATCCAGCAGAGAGAGAAAAAAAAATGCTGCACGCTGGCTGCTATTTCCGAGCGATACATTTAATGCCGATGTTTGATCTCAGGCCGACATCGGCGAGACTAGAGTGCTGACTATTGGGTTTGCAAACAAGGGTAGAAAAGAGAGGAGCAGTAGTAGAAAAACAGCCGACATGCTTGATTTAAAGCCAGTAGCCTCTAGTCGACCATTCAGAAATGACTACAAGGCAAGCCCCACCCCCCCACAGTACTGGTACTTTCGGAAAGTACTACCCCCGAGCAGGGACTTTTTGGGGGGTAACATAAAGACCCTAGAGCTACATTTAGACCCTGGTTCCTGCAGTGGAAACGCAGTGAGTTCCTCCACAGGTTCCTAGTTCCAGGGTTTAGTTCCTTTGTTGAAAACACGGCAATAATAGTGTGGATGATGCCTTAAGCAGCAGTCATTAAGATTTTTATGTAAAATTCACAGTACCTTTAGACAGATGATGCTTTCAGGGATGACGCCCAGACTGCCCAGCGTGGCTGAGTCGTCTGTCAGACTTTTCCCATCAATGGAGAGGTTCTGGTCGAACGGAGCCACGGAGAAGGCGTGCATAATCTACAGGATCCAAAGCACAGCAATGTTAGTTTTGTGAATACTCACTACTCACCTTTAGAGTACAGTAATCACAATACTCACAATACTGATATTACAATATCGTGTTACAGCATCAGCTCTGGTTAAGGGCTTCCAAATACATGTGTAGGATTACTGATTCTGTAACAACCAGTTTATGTGAACAAACTTTATTCTATCCATCCTCAAGATCTCTCATTTACCACTTTATGGTAATTTAAGCCTCACCTGTATTTTGAGCTCTTTAAGTGTCTGATTAGCTGAAACGATGAGCGCTTTCTCTCCTCGGAGTTTCCTGTGCCGGGTGCTTCTCCTTATTCCACCTAGTTTGGTCATGTTGGTCACAGGAACAGCAGCTGCTGATGCTGCGCCGCCGTCACTCATCTTTAGCCGCTTTGCGCCATCTTGTGACTGAAAGAAAGTAATGTGATTATTAGCTATCAGGGCTGGCAATAGAAGGTGCCTTTATTCCTCGTCTTTCCTAACAACAAAAAAGTAACTGTCAAGAGATTTCCTCAAACAGAAGTTGATCTGTGTGTACTGTTAATGGACTCCTGATACTCCTCATTCTACTCCCGGTTTAGCCCTCTGCTAACTTGAATGGGGGTAAAATTATAATCGTGCGGCTCTTGTAGACTTTCAAATGTTATCGACCGAACTGATCACACTATTGTGACAACCGCTGGATTGGCCGCTAGTAAAACTGACTTCCAAGCACGGAGCACTTCCTGTGGGCTTGGAGGACATGCGATGCTACCAAGCTGACCAATTACAGTTCTCGCTGTCCTCTTCGCCGCATCGAGTGGTTTTTTTTTCGGGGAGGTGCGCGTCAGGTACAGGGCTAGGGTGTAGATTCGACACAGAAGTATGAATCGGGCTCTATGTGTAGCTAGTTGCAGTGCTCTATTGCTGGTAGCAGTCAGCTGATACTATGTGTGCAATGTGGCAGAATCCTTCCTATAGTTACCTGGCTGAAGTCAGGATCTCTCTCTCCATCCACCTTTGGATGTTCTTCCTTCTCCTCCTCGGCCTCGGAGCTGCTGGCATTCAGTTCTGGAGCCGCCTCCTTTATCATCTATGCAGACGACAATGTGAAAACACAAAGTTAAAGACTCTGCATCAACAACGGAAAACCTTTTAAATCTCATTTTAGATATTGTGTGACAAAATCATGGTTTGGATGTCCTAAAATGCCCCCCTTTTCATACCCTCTTATCTTCAATGACTTTGCGGATATAGATGGTTGCTTGGGTATACTCTCTGAGGTCCCTCTGCTGCTGGAAAAGGAAGCTCTCTCTGCACTCCCAACACAGTTCTGAACAAAGAGACACACAATATCAAATGAACCAAGGATGCTGAACATTTTAATAATTGAGCTGTGAATGTGATGTGATTTTGCACTCTTACCGGGCTGAGTGGTGTACTGAATGGTGAGACCACTTGGTGTGGTCTGTTTGAAGCAGTGGATGGAGATCGGCTGGTCCACGATGAAGAGTCTGTTGATCACTTCCCACTCACTGGGCCAGAGCAGAGCTATACTGTGCAGGAGAAACAGCACGACATGAGACCACAGTAGTTCAGCACAGGGTTCTTCATATATTTTATTTGATCATTGTATTTTGTGAAGAATAAGGAACATTTGTTCATCAACAACAGCTGTGTTAACCTGGTTGTTCAGATCTGTGCAAGTCTTGTTCAAGAAATTAAATTAATTGACTGAGTTCATGCATGAAGTGTCAGGACCACCGCTGCCTCACTGGGTTCAGGGTTTAGCATTAGTATGAGTTATTATAGACAGTTTAATTCACAATGTATCTCTATGTTCTGTGGATTGTTTTGTGGAGAAAAGCAACTATTGGTCAGTTAAATAAGCAGAACTCACTGTTGTGCATCTCCGTTGATCAGGGACTCGTAGGTGAACATGAAGCCTCCGTGGGGACAGAGCAGCAGAGTGTTGCCAACATTAGAAACTGGAGAGGATTTAGTGGGCCTCCTATAAAATGCACACACAGATCAACAATTATCATTTAAAAAGGCTGATCTACAATTTTACTGCCAGTCATATTCAACATCATCAGGGACCTGCCAACTCAGAAATGAAAGGGTTAAGTTAAATGCAAACTGAATCAATTATAATTGGGTTTAGTCATCACTTGTGACACATCTGATAGTCATGCCAAACTATTCTTTTTACTAACTCATTTTATGGAAGGGTGGCCCTGTTCTTCAGTTCTTCAAGCATTAGTTTGACAATGTGACAACAAACAGTTTAATCAGTTTTGTTAATTTCAAT